AATGCTGCACAAAAAGGAGCAAGTAAGATACTCTGTGTGGTGGTTCTCTCATCCACTGCTCTGGTCTTCCTCTAGAACTTCTTTCCAAAACACATAGGGTCTTTTCCCGCTGCTGAGTTAGTGCCCTCTACCCATCTTTGAGGCAGCAGAAACACGCTTAGCACAATAGGGCCGATCTCTATCCTGCCTTGACTGCCTCTGTTGAGACAAAGCCATGGGTTGATTCCTCAGCCTTTGCTATCTCCCTCTTCTGCATGACCCAGCCAGCAGAAAAACATCCCCTAATCATAGTATTGCAGCAGGAAGGGGGGAGGGTGTCTGGCTACAGGATTCTATCCATCATTTGTAGGCATGTTGCTCCTTCCCCTTCTCCTTCACCCTATTTTTTTGTAACACAAGCTGAATAGAAAACATTAAAAACCCAAGCAACTGAATCACAAGCAGCACTTTTCCTTAGGAATTCTCTCCTTTTCCTTTCTTCCTATAGGCAACAAATGCTTACCTCCAGGTTCTTCCATGCTCTAGTTCCGTAGACAAATAGAGCAGGGCAGGGAAGAATTGGTCATAATTTCAGTGCTATTTCAGCCTATTTTACCAAGAGATTTCACCGTTATCCTGTTTCATGCTGTTGGAATACCTGGCAAGTAGTTTTTTTCTTCACTCACTGTTGTATCCAGTTCTTTAGGGAGGTATGAGTATCTTGAATAGGTAGCAGTAGACACGGCTGACTGGGAAGGCATGCTCCTAGCAGCCTGGAATGGGCAATAAGACACTAATCCTCTCTGCTACTGACTTCACCTCTGACAGGTGCCAAAAAGTTAGATATTTGACACACCTTGCAGTGGTCACTGCATGCCTCAGAAGGGAAATGCCACCACTGCTACATCTAAGAACGATGTCATTCATGTGCCGAAAATAAATTGCCAGAGCATCTTAGGTGCAAGTAGGTATATCACAGTTGATGCTCATGGTTAGGTGTTAGGCCTATATTTAAACTACAGGATCTACTGTTCTGTGGAGTAATGGTTGTCAGATTATGGGGTATTAAAAGGGGATTAGATGAATTTAGAGAGTTTTAGGCTACCTGAGCAAACATGGCTCTTCATATATTTTTTATGATTCTTCTTAACTTCCCTTTTTTTGGTCAGAACTTTGTTCCTAGTTTTGATTTTTCCAAGGAAGTTATTTACTCCCTTTAAATTAATGAGCTCATTTGCTTACTGAAACTCAGTATCACATGATGACATAAAGATCCATCACCAACAGGGCTTGCCTGTCAAGCAAAGAATCACAGGGTTGTTCTGGGGCTTGGATCCAATGAGGAAATTCACAACTTGTCAACAAGGGTGGCAATCTGAATCACAAATGCCTGGAAGGAGTTGGGGCTGTCCACTTCTAGCATATCCAATGTTGCTGTTATCACAAGCACCTTACACTCCTGGGAAGCTTTACAATTTCACTTGATCAAGAAAATGATAAGGAATGAAGTTTATTTTTATACCAGGTAACTAAGATTCTGTGCATTTCTATTTAAGCAATTTTTTAAAGTATTGTATATTCCTTCCTCATAATTTTATTGGTTATTTCAGCAGTATACTTTTGAATAAAGTTTAGTAGCATTTATGAGAAGATCTCCTTTATCTGACTATAGATAAACGCACTTTATTTCAAATTATATGTGTTTGTGATCAACATTATTTGGTTGTAAGATTGCTTGGTCATTCAGTTGATTTTGAAAGGGACAACACGTTGCCAAATGCTGTGTGTTTGGAGAACTGAATCTTATTGAACGTGGTTATTAAGGATCCAGAATGTGCTGTTTTCTTTCCTGTCTGCATTTTAATTGTAATTTTAATGAGTAAACTTCAAGGTAAAGGGACACCCCAATGTTTCCTTTCAAAAATAAATGCTTCTGGGTCTTTTTCTAGCTTGGCTAGAAATCGGTCCTTTTTTTCTGAGCTGTTCTTGAAAAAAACAAAACATTTTTGTTTGTTTTCCAAAGAGAAGTGTTTTAGATATAGTCCCTCAATGTAGGATGAGGAATCAGCGACCCTCAAGATCCTTTTGAATAACAGCCACCCACAATCCCTGTTCAGTGGATTATAATCCCCACTTGAGTTGATAGGAGTCATAATCCAGTAACTGCAAAAAGGCATCTTATTCTCATTCTCTACCCCAGTTCAGTGGAATGAAGATATGAGGCAATCTGTTCCCAGACTTTCTTTTGTATAGTATTTATTGTTTGTAATATTTGATATCTTAAGGAATGGAGATTCATGGTGCTGAATGGGACTTTGCTCTCAGAGGATATATGTAAGAAATACCAAAAGGGAAGCAAGATTTCAGGTTCTTCTGTTATAAATAAACTCTATTGTTACACCTTGTATGCTTCTGCTCCAGTTATTCTGCACTTGAAAGTGAAGAACCTTTTTGTACATTTTAGACTGGAAACTGATTCTCTGGCATAATGATGGATAACCAGAAATGGTACTTTATAAATACTTTGGGGAGGGAAGAGATTAAAAGGCTGGAGGAACTGTGACAAGGGTGAAATGTTCATTCCTTCTTAAATTATGTTGGGGGGGGGGTTTCAGGTGCCCAAGAGTGATACTAGGAGCCTTCATATGGCCTAGGGTTGCCCATCCCAGTTCTATAATTTATAGAATTCATGATACTGCTATTATCAGCTAGCATTCCGTGTCAGTCTACTGTCCTACAATTGTGTTGGACAACAGTGAGCCTCCGAAATCTATCTTTATAATATCCATCATCAAAGATAAATACAGTCCCTCCTCTTAGCACGTTTTATGGTTATGATATTCCAAGAAGCCAATAACAGACATACAGATGTCTGTGTGCATGTATGGAGCACTGCCAATGGCTTTTACTAGCTGGAAACAGTTTGTATTAGGAAAGTCTTTCATTTGTTTTGCTACAGGAATCCAGCTGGCCTTTTGCTGCAGGCTTGCATGAAAGCCACACTCCTCGCCAGTTTGTCTTCAATCAGGTTACTCTCACAGCTGGACTGCAGCCATGCACAGGGACAAGCATTTGAAGCTGAGCCAAGCTTAGTCTGTCAATGAGAGTAGGTCAGCCCCATGGGGCGCCTTCAGTTAAGAATGCAAAGCACTCCCCATTGGGACCAAGCAAAGAGTGTGAGCCAGCATCTAAATGTAGCCAGCATCAGATTTCAAAGTTCTCTGTAAGGCTATAAAGCAAGATCCAGCTGCTTGGGAGAGGGTGTGTATTTAAACAACAGGGTGCTACTGAAAAGTTTGATGACAGACCCAGAAAAGAAACCCAAACCTTGTCCATAAACCAGGCGCTTCTCAAAAAGTTGCCTCTGGAGAGTATGGGGTAATGGTATTCAGCTGATTTACATGTGACTGAGTCTTTGTAGAAAGGCTGTAATGGGACCTTCTCCAGGCTATTAGTTTCTCTCTAGCTGATTGTGGAAAGCTCCAAATTTTATAGCTGTTCCCCCATCCCCCACTGTTACAGTTCCTATAACAGTCTTGCCCTTGTTATGTCATTTGTGCAGAAAATAAATAAATAAAAAAAATGATTAGTCAACTGAACCAAACCATATCAAGATATCAGCGTAGCAATAAAGAAATGCAGCATTGCTATCTGTATTTTTGCCTTAGGAATTTGATACAGCTCTTGTGAAAGCAAGAGTACACATGAATAAAGTTGAAGATCAAAGAGATTATGAATAAACAGTGAAAAAATCAAATTGATAGTAACAAATTGTAGTTGTTACTACAGAGAAGGCAATGGCAGACTTCACACATCACACTAGAGTTTGCTGAATAAGCCATAATCGTAGCATTGTACAAAGGCTATGGTTGTTTTGTGAAGCACATTATAGCTGCAGTAGCATCACTGTGGGTTAAGGAACCTTTTCTTGTTGATTCATCTGCTCCTAATTTTGTCTGGTAAATCAGCTCAGTGGTGGCTGACTCCAAATGCCATTGTGGATTGAGGAGACTTGTGGGTTCCATTTTCTGCCCTCCTGTTCAATTCATCTTTAGAAAACCAGAATGGAAAAGATAGCACTGCTGTATTCACAACAGAACTGATTTCCTGGGCTTGGAACTTGTTCTCCTAAGACAGACTCACATCACCCAGCCCTGACCTGTGCCTTTCCCTCAGAGTTTTTGAGTAAAGAAAATCAAAGAGCTTTCTGGCCTTTTCAAGAACTCTAATTTGACAGCTACATTCCTCCTAGAAGTTGCAAATTGGCCAAACAACAGAAAGGATTAGTTGAATTGTCAGGGCAATATTGTACCTTCTTCAGAGGGGGAACCCTCCTCCTCTGAATAACTGGGGAGACTGCCTGGAGAAAAGGTCTTCTTTGTAGTTTTTATATATCTACAAATACAGCATGCCTCAGCATTTGCTTTATGATCCCACAGGGTGCCTCATTGGCTATACAGAAATAACGTGGCTTAAAATATTCTCAAGTGACATGATGGGTTTCTAGGGCAATTTATTTACTAAGTGCTTCCAGGCTGTTAACTTTTCTATTTTTCCACCAAGATAGGCCTTTGTCCCCAAATTCAGCAAAGCCTCTGCAGTTAGAAACTTAAAACAGGCTTCTCAAACTCTGAGCAGCAACTCCCCAGGGGTTGCAAAACGTTTTTAAAGCTGATCAAGCAAAGCAGAAAGCAAAGCTTGGACTGAGTATTGACTGTGCTCCTACTATGCATGGCAAGCCCACAGTGGACTCACAAAGATGAGGCAAGAACAGCCCAGAGTAAGTTTAGAGATGGTTAAACCTGAGTGTTTTCCCTTCTGTCAAAATAATCCACCAAGCCTAGCAACGCCAGGATACAGAGGATTGTAGAAGTATATGCACTAGTGAACTTCAGTATTTTTTATGTCTAGCCCTTCAAAATGGAAAAGATTTTGTTGAATGGTAAGACGAAAATTGATGATGACCAATCTGACAGTAAAGTAATGTAGATAAAACCAAAAGTGCAATGAAAATTATGTATATTTTAATCAGTGGGTTATTTCTTACCCAAACCTAGTTGCAATGCAATAATTAGTTTAACTGAGGAGATTTGCACAAATTCATTTATCATTTTAGGAGGTGGCATTATTTAGTTTGAGAACTGCTACGTTAAGAGAACCATTTTCATTTGCTGCTTCTCTGATACCGTAATTCCTTCAATAGTCTAAACCAATGGTTATATACAGGACAAGGGTCAAACTGCAGAATCTCTTGACATTCTGTATTAATACTTTAAATATGTGTACATGCACAAACAAGTCTTGCTCATTTTAAGCAAATATTAGAGATAACACATTTCTCCTTGATTTTTCATAACATCCCTCACATATAATCTAGATCATTCATCTTGGCTCTGGGTGTTTTTGTTATGAAGTTAAATTCTTTTTTTCCAACAAAAAAATTTGTTTTCTCAGCAATTACCAGTTTTGGGGCATCTGCATTACTTTGAGATATAAAATCCCCACCCCCGCCCCCAAAGCCTGGAACAAAAATTAATGCACTATCATACATGTCTTAATACACTCTGGGAAAACTTCAAACTAGTTTTCCTGTTAAACATACTTCAGAGAACTGGGTTTAGAGACACTGCAGTCTCAGCAGTGAGACTTTAACTACAAGAGTCTTAATAGGAATCTACTGCAGTAATTGTATGTATCTCACAAAACCAGCTGTCATATTATTCACATGCATAGGATTTACATCTGGGCAGTGTTGTCAGTTGGCAGCAGAAGCAGGGATGACGTGCCTACATAATGGCGGCAAATTGATTTTCAAGGTAGTGATTTTAAACTTCTAAAACCCTGCACTCTCCTTTTTAGTCCACTGATGTATTCTGTCAAAATGTAACAGCATAAGCAAAACTAGACCCATTGTAGCTGTTTCAGGAAACTGGCAGCATTAAGCATACATTAATATAAACTCAAGCTATGATATACTAGGCCCTGCTGCCATCATGTGGGCATCTGAAAACCTAAACTCTGAGGCCAATTGCTGCTTTCCATCAGGACCAACACTTTATAAAAATCAAACAACCATTTTCAATGTCAAAACAGAAAGATTAATAAAGAAACACTGAGGTATTTTGGAGTAATGAGATGTGTTGCATGAGAATTCAGAAGCAACAGCTTACTTCTAAATGACACACACTTTCCTTATCAGAGTTTGGCTGTATTGGATTATAAAAGTCACTGTATAAATTTCTTCTTGAATTCAGGATCAAACATGCCTCACAAGTAAACAAATTAGATTAAAAGAAAGGCTAAGTTTGCATTTTCTTGAGGCGTGACTGCCACAGAAAAAGACATTCAAGGAAAGACTAAATAAAAGAGTTATTCCAGACTCTTGCTTACATAGCAAGCAGTATAATATTGCTGCTCATTTTATCTTTTTTCCCTTCTAATCTCTCACCAAAAAAATAAATAAATAACAAAGCCATCAAGCGTGACTTTTAAAAACAAATTCTAAATGTACAACTGCCACCTAGTCCCAAAGAGATTCAGGTTATAGTGCAAGCAAGAACTTAGATTTCCTATTCTGAAGAAACCTCAGATCTGTAGGTATAATTAACGTGTTATAATCTGTTTATTGGTCTCAGTAGTAATGTTGAAATATATTTTGAACAAAGAAAGTCACATTTGCCTCCAAGAAAGTCTCTTCCTAGAATAAAATTGTACTCTCAAAGCTAAAGATTTAAGGTATCAAAACTTTAAAAATGAATGCTGGTTTTAATCAGATGTGCTCCCTTCTGTTTTATACAATCTGTTCTGGATTCCAATATACTCTAAGTGCTATTGTGCACATTCAAACTTTTGAGGGCGCTACATGGAATTTTCTTGGGTAGTGCGGTTTTCTAATATAAGGGCCCACTCTCAGAGAATAGGCCAATAGAAAGATAATGTGGCTGTGAGAGCACATCAGTTACTAGGCATGACATTTCAACAACAACAGTTTAGAACGCTCTTGCCATTAACCTCTCTGCTGGTAGTGGTGCAGCAATTTTTGAAAAATAAAAATAAAAAGATGTCCTTACACTATGATGCATCTTAAATATAATGCTTCTGTTCCCATTAGTTAAATCCCCTCAAGTTTCAGATACCTTCTGAATTAAGATCCTCTCTATCCATGATGAGTCTGAACTCTTCTGCTCTTTGCTTAAAAGCTCTTTGATCTCTCTACTCAGATAAGAGAGCTGGTACCTCTTCTTTTAAGTTATGTTTATTTAGCAATACAGGTATATGTACATTTATGAGAATCTACCTTTGAAACCCATGAAGTAGGAGACCTGCACAGGCAGGGAAGGGTTGGAATTGGTGCTGCTCAGTGGCCTTCAGGGCCCTCCTGCTTGTCACAATAGTGAAACAGAGGATAAGAAAGGAACAGACAAGAAGCGAATCAGTTCACATGGCAGAATCTTTGGGTAGAGACTCCGCAGTAGCCAGCGTTAAAACAATCGGGCTCCATAGCCAAACGTCTGTTTAATGCCCTCAAAGTAATAACGTTGCCAGCCCTCTTTTGTTCTCTCTTCTTCACTGGCTGGGATGCCCTTCCCTTCTAGGCAGACTTCTGTTTCACCACCCTTGTCGGTGAAGGTCAATGTAATAGTTGCAAAGTGTCCTAAGAGAGCCAAATAAATTCCACATCAGTCATGTAGCATCATCTTGAGAAATACAGGAAAACTAACCACACACTGAGTTGGTAACATGGTTGCAGAAGTCTACCTCCAGAAAAACACCTAAAAAAACTTGTGAGATGCTTAGACCTTAGAGCGGTCAATATTTAATTATGATGAGAGAGATTACCAGCTGCAGCTGATACAGGAATCTCTCCACCAAGGAATAGAGCATTTATCAGAGCCAAGGCTTGTGAGGCTTGCACTTTTTTTGCTATCTCACATTCAGGATAGCTTTATCTGCAACCTACCATCTCCTCTTAGACTTCTTTTGTTGTGGTATTTGCAGCCAAATAGCTTACCCTCTGGCCAGGACTTAAATCTCCATTTCATAGCAATCTGCTTTGCAGAAACCTAAAAAAGAAAGAGAATTTATCTACCAAGGAAATTTTCATGTGGATACCAAAAGAAGGGGAGAGACTTGATCGGAAAGCCAGTGTTATCTAGGTGAAAGTCAAATATCTGCACCTACTATAAAGTGTCTATGAGGTGTTTACTTGCTAGGGCCATGCAACACCTAAGCAGAGCACTTCCCTTAGAAAAGGTAACCTGTCACTCTCAGATTGCCCAGTAAAGTAAAGCTGCACCAGGATTGAAATCCCTTGCTTTCCACTGCTTAATAAAAGCACATCCTGCTTTGTCTTTATTGAAATCAGAGGCATCTAAAACTTGCTGCAGTCCACTAGACTTCCCTTGACAATGACCCCTCCCTCTAGTCACCAGATCTGGATAAACAAACATGCTTTTTCTCCTTTGCTCATGTTCCCGAATGTTTTCAGGATTTTTGATGCCTATAAAACTACCCTAGTTTATTTCCCCAAAGACACAGTCTGGTTCAGATGTAAACATGGTTTATAGGATCAAAACAAGCTGCTCCTTAAGTTGCTACCTTCTTCCATAAACTTCTTCCTCCTCCCCTTACTTGCCAATGTTTGCGCAGTCTCACTGTTCTACTCAAGAAATGAGGCCAAGCCATGGTTTGCAGCAAGCCTTTGACTTTTACAATAAAGCTCGCAGCAGCAGGCATGCTGGTAAATCTGGGTGGCTTTTAAAGGCCCCTTAAACTGTGAGAGAATTCGGGTGGCCCTAGAGAACCCCATGCTCAGCTGGTAGCATTAGGGAATAAAACAATACTAAATCAAGTGACAGCTACGTGGCTCTAAAGCTGGGCAAAGACTGTTGAACCCTGATAAAACCCTGAAAAGACTAAGCAGAAGGATAACTGCATCAGAATGTATCTGAGCCATAAATTCTGGGTTAGTCCTTTTGAAGAAGCCAAAGCTGGCAATTAACTTCTTTGCAACTCTTTGTTCAAGCCAGGAACCTACCTGGCAAAACCCATTCTCTGTTTCTTCCTAACATTCTCTTATTATGCCACCTTCCCTTTCCCCATTTTATTTTCACCTGTATTTCTTTTCCACCTTCTTCCTTTCTCTCAATGGAGGCAACTTCTTCAGTTTCTCTCGGGCTTGTCCCCTTTAATTCAGCATAATGTCCCTTTCCAAACACTCTCTATTTCACCTGGGATCCTGCATCTTCTTGCATAACTCCATACAACAGCAATTGTATGGAACAACAGCATAACCAACAGCAAATAGTCTAGCACTGCCCAGAAAGGTACTTGTTTCTCCCCCCCTCAACCTGAAATCCTTTTACCCCTTTCTTTCCAAGAAAACCACCTCTTTCTCTTTGCTCTCTATTTCCAAGCTAAGTGTGCTCTTCAATGGGCTCAAGCACTACCTCTTAGCATGGGTGAAACGTGTGTGTGAATATATTGTTTCATCTTTTAAATCTCTTGCTTTTTTTTTTTTTTTTTGCTTTAACAAGAAATTTTTCTCCTTCTTTGCTATGGCCGGAAGCCTTCATGCCACATCCTTCTATTTTCATTTTTCAGTCCACTCTATATATGCTCCATTAATCTCTTCTCAAAATTCCTTGCTTCCCTTGTGTTTCTCTGAACTCACCCCTCATCTTTCTTATCAAACTGAATGGAATTTGATTCCCCATCTCTCATGAAACTGAATGTATTAAATTTCTCATAGACTGTAAAATTCTTCTGATTTCCTGCCCCACTTGGCCCTCTTTCTCTACCCTTGCTTTCAGCTTGTCTCATATAGTCTTCTCACAGGCTGTCAAATTTATGGGTTGCTTTATTGCAATTAACATATGCTAATTATTTAACATACCTACACTAGCTTTTATTCATACTATTTATGCTCTAGGTGATATCATGTGGGCAAAGAGATCATTGTCCAAAGGAAAGGGACTATCCAATTCCCAAACAACATACAAAGGACCCATCATTAGTAGTGAACTTACTAGTTCAATGAACTTGCCAGTGACACTCCCATTTAGCAGCTGAAATTTTCCTCCTTTGTCAGCCTCCACAACAGCAGGTGAGTGAGTAAAAGCTTGGACCATCTACAAAAAAGCAACATAACAGTCTATTAACTTTCCAATTTTCAGGTATGGGATTATCTACTATCTCTCACTGATAAGTTTGGAAAAGATTAGAGGAGTTTCTCAGATGAAGGAAACAGCAGCACCTCTTACTTCTCATGCCATTTTCAAATCAGGGAAAGGGTGCTTATCTCCAAGAAGAAGGTGCTTGAAATCAGGACTTTTTGCTGTGAGACAATATAAAGCTGAGAAGAAGCAAACTGGCTCTTTTTCTTGGAATATTCTGGAGGCCTAGGCCACCTCTGTTATAACAACTTAATCACTGCTCCCTAACAGTAAGTAGGATACCCCGGGGGGGGGGGGGAAGGAGGTTGATGACAGACAACCTGAAGACACATTTCTTATCAAAATCATACTGAAAAGCCTATATAAATATATTAGGCAAGAGAAAGCACAGAACATCCGCAAAGAGCCTGTACTAACCTACCTCTTGGGTAACGAACACTCTATAGAGTTCCTCTGGGGATGTCAGGAAAATATCCTTCAAATTTATCTTGCAGGTAGGAATCTTAACTCCTACCGATTTAGATGCAGAAGTGTTGCCAGCAACCTGTTCAGTGACCTAAAACAGTATCACACATCACACAATTAAAATGCCTCTTGATTGCTCCTGAACTATAACCATCCAAAATCTTCTCCAGATAAAGCTAATTGCTGCATTACCTGCAACTGTGGTGGCAGCAAAGGTATGAACCTCAGCTAATCTTGCTCCTGGCTGGAACCCACCAGTCCCTGACACCAAGCTATATATGATAGCAAAATTATCTAACAAAGATAGCCCATCTTTTGCATTGGCTACATAATTTGAATAATTCAAGTCACAGAATATATATATTCCTAAATGCAATCTTTAAAGCTCAGGACAACTTCATACTACACTATTTAATATGCAAAGAAGTCTTCTGCCTTTTGAGTAGCATTCAAGAAATATCCTTTAAAACAGTTTTGTCCGGACTTTCTAAACACATATTATTTCAAACTGGATACTCCTAAAGCTTACCTTATGCTCGTCTGTTTTACGCACAGAATGATGCTGTGGTTCTGACTGTTCACCATTTACTGTAGGCAAAATCATGCCTTGGGTAAATTCTGAAAAATATTAAGAACTGGCATTCAGAAAGCTATTATACAAGTGACAAGATGTTTAAAAACAAGTACACACCAGCCTGATCTCAACTTAGAATAACTGCAGAACCACTGGGACTGTTAGACGGTGTCTGACAGGGATAGGCAATCTTTCCATATCCAGAGGTCACACCTCCAATCATTTTTTACTTTTTCAGCTTCTGAAGGCTACAAGGGATGTTCTGACCAATAACATAACCTCAGATTCTCTTATAATTTACATATAAAACCACTTAGTTCCTATATCCATTCTTCTTCTCTTAATAGCATCAACGAATGCTAAGTCCAGACAGGAAATCAGTTTTCAAACTTGATCTGTCTAGAATTATGGCCAAAACACCAATTTTTCTGTTTGATTTCAATAACACTGAACACAAATAATTGATGCCCTTTGTGGGAAAACTACAAAGCAAGCATCCTGACTCATATTCACAATTTCTATGTTAATATGACAGTGGCATTTTGTTCCTGTTCTTTCAGGTGTCCTCACACGTTACGGTAATCCAATCAAGATACAAAAAGGACATAAAGGACCACAGATAAACCTCCAATATTTCAGAGATTGTCCCATGCAAAGATGAATACTGAACGTGCATTATATCCTTCATTTAAAAGCTAACCGTTCAAAAGAAAGCCTCTATTGTTCCTTGGGCTTTATTTGTACCTGTTTTAAGAGTGCTGATATAAGTTTCCATAGCATTGCTGATCTGCTTTACACCTTCTTGCCTCATCAACAGTAGCAGGTTTGTATCTGGTTCATCTTTTGCAAGACTAACATTGATCTAAGAATAGAAGGGAAAAAAGACATATTGTCTCAACAGAGCATGTCTGCTTTTACCACATATACCATATATTGTACTGCTTCATAAAATAATTTCTTCAGAAAATATCAAAATAGTTTATGCCTTTGTATTATCAGAAGCAATATGTAAAATATTCCATACATGAACCACCCTGTGCATATGACTGCACATACTAAGTGGTCTGGGCCCAAACTGAAACTGTGTTTTGGAAGTTTTGCTCTGGACAGAGTATGAATTGCTTTTGTTCCAGGCAGTAGTTCAGATCTGTGTGTGTTAGACAGAGGGAATAGGAACAGGAAAAAGCCAAGTATATTGATAGCAGCAGATGAGGGAAAGAAATAAAAGCACTGGAAAGTTGGGGGGGTATGCCATTCTTGGAGTTGCTGAGGGGACAAGGAAGGTGACCCACATCAGCCTTGCCTTACTTGCCCTGTACAACCACTCTGGGATCCCTTCAGATGTTGTTTTAGCTGAATCCTGGGACAATATAAACATTCCAGGTTTTGTTTATGAAGATTCTCAGTCATCCAGGTGGAATGGTCTGGAGGTTGAGTCATTGCAACTGGACTTCTTTTCTTGTTGGTTAGAGACGTTTCACTACTTGTCCAAGAAGGCACTTGGACAATTAGCGAAACATCTCTAACCAACAAGAAAAGAAGTCCAGTTGCCATGACTCAACCTCCGGCAATTCCAGGTTTTGTTTCTCTCAAATTGTGGCTAATCCAGAACAGTTTGGCAAAACTTCCAGAATGCAATAGAACAAAATATATTTCCTGTTTTGTGCACACCTTTGAATTTATGACAAAGAAAAGAAAAGAAAAGAAAAGAAAAGAAAAGAAAAGAAAAAGAAAAAGTCCAGCAGAGAAATTAAGGGGAACCACAATCCTCCTTCAGAAACAACAATATTCAGATCTGCAATTTCTTTCCAATGAAATAGCTCTGAGAAATATCACATGCTTACCTCAATTTCATCAATATCATTTTCATCTGAAAGATTGGGAATTTCCACATGTCCTTTATATTTTACACCTGATTTTGAGGTACCTATAAGCAACAATAATTTAAATTAAAATCATGGTTCAATTTCACTTTCCCAACAAATTTTGACAGGTTTTGGCATTCTAGAAATGGAAGTATAATAAATGTTTCAATCCCCTTTGTGTTTCTTCGAAAACACTTCAGAGATTCAGATTTGTGATAATATCTAGTATTCACAATATTTGTCTTCTTGTATAAAAACAAAGCAGCAACTCGCCTTTCCAAGCCAACTTGATGTTCCATTCATAGAAGAAAATCAGTTTTCCTTTGCGATTGTTGATGGAGGCTTCCCCATCTAATTTGCTCACTTCTGTCACTTCACAAGTCCCCTCCGCATTCTCTACTCTAACAGCCAGAAACAGTGTTTTCAGCTTCTCGGAGGACCAGTTCGATGCATCTCTTTCGGTCCTAAGAGGGGGAAAAAACTTAAAATGAAAAAGCGCAATAGTAAACACTATGCATGTATGCTCATATATAATAAAAACTAATGCTCAGAACTTTACATATCTCCTTTCAGGTAGTATTTGCTTAAACATGCAGTGGTGTGTATTTCAGCTGAATCTATACCAGGAGTTTGTAACTTGCTCACCTCTGCAGATTGAGCTGCTGGTTCACCTGTATCACCTTTCTTCCCTATCTTAATACTGGGGCAGGAAAAAAATAGAAAAAACAGCTACTAACCCTCAATGGTTCTAGAGAAGTACACTCTTCTTCCCTGGGACTAAACTTGACAATGACAATCAGGCTCAAAATATACAGGACAAGACTCTATATCACTTAGCATCTCCTATGGTATAATTTCACTGGTGATTTTCTAAGTTAAGAAATCAGTTGTCTCACTCCTTTCTCTTTTAAGATTTCCTGCAGCTCAAGAAATAACTGTTCCTCATGATAATGCCAGTAGTGTTCATGTTTCTACTTATCTAAAGATGGATTACAGTCTGCATTTCATGACGAGCTAAACCAGCTGGACTAAAGATCCCAGTGGCAATGCAGCCAGCACCTATAGCCATATTGCATGGAACCTATATGGTTGTGATCATTCTACTGCTGTCCCTAAATAATGTAACATAATAGTCTTTTTTTACATTGCAAAAAAGCATTTTTAACCAAGCAACCTAATGCATGGCAACACTTGAAAATATTGCATATTTTGTTCTTTGCCAATAGTCAGGTGATCAGTTAAAGCTGCCAACATATTCAAAATTCATTTTTCACTATATGCTGGAAGTGCTGCAAGTCACAGTAAGGGCTTTCCAAAAATTCTGTTTTATGGTACATAATGCTCAAAGATTTGGCTCCTCCTATTAGCAGGAACATTAAACAAACTGCAGAAGCTTCTTCTGAAGTTTGTTTATTGCATGCTGTGAACCTGATACCTACTCTGTCTTCTCCAAACAAGAAATAACTGAAAGCCAAGAACACATGACAGCTTTCTGTCTCTTGCTTGCTAGGATGGGAATAAGGTTCACATATTGGTTCACATATTATTATAAGTAAACCTTTCATGATTTAGGCTCTGCCGCTAGTAAGAGAAGCTAAATGAGCCAAATTTGCATAGTCATTATTTGGATTACAATGACATGTGAGCAGGTAGACATAAAGTCTCATTTTGGTTGAGCTTAACTCCTAGTGACTCATGGACACATCCTATGTTGTTTCCTTGGCAACAATGAGAAAGAGCTTGCCACTGGTTTTTTCTGGGGTTTAGTCTATACACATGAGATTTCCTCATGGTCTAACCTTTCAAGTATAAACATAGCCTAGCCTTTTTTAAGATCAATCAGATTTTGCTTGGTGTTGCCACCACTTGTTAGAAAAGGTCAAAATCTGAACCTCTGACATGAAAGTTGATGTGGAAGGCCAACTAGTTGTGGATAGCCATTCGGCATCTATAGAATTTTCAAGTATCTTTTTTTTGGCAATAAAAGAATGTCCTTCTTAAACCAGATCACAATTAATCGAAGATTCGCATAATTCAATATTCTATCTCCAAAAGTGGCTCTTGATAAACTTACACAGTATGATGACAACAGCTATTCTCTTTGTTACTAGCACCTGGCATATAGACTATAACTGTACAAAGAGGTTTTGCATAGTTATGAAGATTGGCCAATCAACAATGGATTAATCTGCAGTAAAATTATTAGCTTGATTTGCACAGCATTTTCTGGCCACAGAATATTGTACCAGATGATTATCATCTAGGAAGGTGGTTCTTGTCTTACAGAAAGATCCGTAAACATCCTAAGGTCCTAAGACACACAGGCCCTATCCCCTAATGAACTAGCCTTCTGCTTCTGCTGTAAGCAGTTAATTTTTAATTTTCTAAATTATGTAATTAATTTCATATTAATGTGTGAAATATGTCCTTTCCTTGTCTTCAAACTGTTTTCTCTAGATAATATCAAACTCATAATACTACAGAGAACAATTTATCTTCATCCACATAACATATTTATAGCTAGTAAGTGTGCAAATCTGTCAAAAGAATAGCCTAAAATGATTTTAAAAGGCCATGCATATCACAATACAGTATGACATGAAAATAAAAGCCTGACAAGGCATTTTGCATGCATATGCAGAATCTAAAAAGTAGTAAAATTTCTGCCATAACTTGTCTTCATGCTTGCTGATGTTTGGTGCTGTATATGGGCCCTGGAAACAGAAAAAATGAACCTAGTGCATACCTGCATTCTTATGCCCAGTACAGCTGCCAACACAGACATACATGCACCCAACTAGCCCCTGCTCCCCTGAATTTAAAAGCAGCTTGATACATCTGCAAATAGCATTTATTTCTATGCCAGGAAAAACCTTCTACTGGCTTGTGCAGGTAAATGCTATTAAAGGAGCTTTCCACACTTTTGAGAAAGTAGCCTACTTCTGTTTCCGACAAGAGAAATACTGTAATTCAGTGCAATAAAAGAAAAGGCACAGAAGCAAGTACCCCGGTCAGGTGGCTTTCTCTGCCCCCGCCCCCCCTTCGCCCCGACTTCTCGCTTTTCTGGATACTGTCAATCCTTGCAAATCGCGCACGTCCTTGGGAGCAAGCCCCAGCGGATCCCGGCCAAGGTTCCTGCGGAGAAAACGCCAGGAAGAGAGGGACGCTGAGGAACCCCGGGTGAAGCGCCTGGGGCAGGCAGAAGGGACCCCGGGGCAGCTGGAAGGGGGAGTGCCCGGCCCTCGTGCCTCGGGGTTGACGCTCCCGCAGCGGGGATCCACAGTGGCCGCCCCGCAGCGCCCTCCCTCCCTCTCTCTCTCACCCACCAGTGCCAGTTATTGACGTTGGTGGCATCCGCGCGCTGCTCCACGATCCAGCGCGGGTCCCCTTCTCCCCACTTGGCCATCGGCGCCCCGAAGAAACAGCCACCGCCGCGTCCGCCCCCGTCGAGCCGAGCGCTGCCTCCTCGCGCCTGGAAGCTACTAGAAGCGCCGGTACCGCGCCGCCTCCCGACTTCCGTCACCGGCAGAGGTTCCTTCCGTCCCCCCGCCCCCTCCCCAGAAATGCCATAGAGGCGGAGGAGGGGAGGGGGGCGCGGCGTTGGAGCCGCGGGGCGATCCGAAGGGAAGGAACGGGCCACGGAAGGTGCCAGCGGAAGTCATGCGCCAGGAAAATACGCGCGCTACTCTCGGGGCTTGGGTCGCCGAGTGCCACGCGGTTGGGGCTTCTCTATGGTGCAAACTCCGCTCTCTGGAACTGACAGATGGCGTGGGAACCATTTCTTTCAGTCTTTTCGGGCCGCTCAGCCGGGTCGGGTGGCGGCACCTGGTCGACCTGAGCGGATCTCCGAAAAAGGCTAAGCTGAAAGAAGCCTGGTGAGTCTCTACCACAGCCGTTGCTCTTGGTCCCGCGACCAAAACAAGGATGCAGGATAACGTATGAGTCCTCTTGAAAGGCAGCCTGTGAAATATTATGAAAAGGAAATGATGTTCCGAGGCTCTTGCAGCCCCTAACAGAGCGAAAATGCATGGCCACCTGGACGATTTTCACACGTATTATTCTTTGGCTAACAGAAACTTAAAGGTGACGCACCTGGTTGCAAAGTTCTGCTTTTTAGCATACGTGTAGGACTCTCGTAAATACACTTCCGGTGGAACCACCCTAAAGTACACGCGTGTCGAAGTTCTATTACGCAAATTATTTTTTGTGACTTTTATTTTATTTTATGCACGGGTTTTGATCCAAGCGTATTGAAGTGCTATGTATTCACTCAAAGGCGCAAAGTTCAATTTTTATGCAAAGTTCAGCCCTTTGTGCATATACTTCATCATTATCAATAGCTCTGCCCTTGGTCCGAACCCAGCTATGTATGATTCCACCGTTTGTGAATATCTCGATCGGGGACGCTTCTATTGTAACTATATTTATAAGGCACCTTTAAACCGAGCGCCGCGCAGTGGAAGAATATTGACTCCTTTGTGCTCCCGTAGTTATGAAACCGAAGTAAACCAGGAAGCGGAAAAGGAAGTATGGTTTCTTAGAAGTTATATTTCAACTTCTCTCTCGATTTTTGAGGCATTTCGTCCCTGGAAATCAAAATGTGCAGACATGCTGGGACTTGTAGTTTCCTAAGCAATATATCTTGATACATCAAAGGCGAGGCAACAGCTTGGAAAATACCACTCCCGTGATGCTTTTCGGAGGCACCCTCCTCTCCCTGGCTACGGCGGTATCCGAGAGCGGTGGACGCGATCGAGTCGCTCCGCCGGGAAAAGGGGGAGTTCGCTATTGAGCATGGAGCGCGGCCCCGCGTGATTGGAAAGTTGGCCGGTCGCTGGTTCTCGTTTCTCGTGGTGTGGCCTGTTCTTTCGAGGGTATCTGCGTCCGCTGGTTTCTTCTGGGGGAGGGAGCACCTGGGGCGACATCTATCCTGGGTTGGGGGCGTACCGGTTCCTCCCCATCAGTTTAGGGTCGAGGAGGTAGAGACTTGCTGGTTGGGCCGGATTCCAGGCGGGAGGTAGCTGCTCCACGGATCATCCCTTTCAGTTTGCGTAGGCGAACGGTGCTTCCTCTCAGACGGACCTAGGCCTTTTCCCCTGCGGAGACGGCAATTTAAGCTTGGGACAGGCAGAGGAGTAAAAGAAAAAATCCCGGCAAAAGCAATTGTGTCCCCCCCCACACACACACACGTTATTAAAATATAATTACAGGTTAGGATGAAGATGAAAGGAAACGTGGGGGCTTCCCTCCAAAATCCTGATAAGGAGAAGGTGAATGGATTGAACATCAGAAATAACTCCAGTACAAATTCGTTTGCAGCTGTGTTTTGGCCGTGGCCCAGAGCATTAGTACTCCTTACATTTAGAGTGAAATATTGCCTAGATGTGCCTTTTTTGTCCCATTCATCACAGGCATGGACAAGTGCCACGTGTATATGTATGAAATGTATCATTGTTGAACTGCTGCAAATGGATTAGATATACCTGAGGATAGTATGTTGTTTTTAGTCAATATTCCATGTGCAGATAACTGGCTTCAGATTGATGACTAAATCTCCAAAAGAACAAGCCCTATAAAATTGTACGTGATACTAATTTGTTCTACACTTACTTATGGTTTATAGGTCCATACAGCAGTAAACAGCCCAGTAACATAGAGTTCACTTACTAGCCAATATCATTCAGAGAATGAGTCAGTGAATAACGAGGGAAATGTGTGGCACCAATTTAATAGCTATATTGTCACATAAGTGGTCTGACTGTTCAGTTGTACAAAATATTCTGTTTTTATATGCTCAGATAACATGTTGACTGAAGTGACTGTTCACAGCAGTAACAATAGGTAAAAATTCAGTCATTTTAGCCCTAATAATACAAGTCTAACTCCTATAGTGGGAAAGGAAAAACCCGTTTGAATAGATGGAATCCAATGTATTAATACATTTCAGTGGAGCCATGTTTCACTGAAATTTTCTGCATCTTGGAAAAGATTCCTGCAAAAATGGAATACTAAAGTATTTTTAGAAATGTCATATTGTTGATAGTTTTGATTTTGGTTTTTATTTTGGCATTAGAACTGACACCCTATGGGGACACTCTATGCGGATATTTTTGGTAACTGGTGAATATTTCATGTTTGGGAATGGAAGTTCGGTAGATGTGTAGATATGTGAAATATTGCTTGGGATGTATTGACAAGTGACATGGCAGAATGGCTGCACTTGGGAGCAATGACAGTAGATATTCTGTCACTTTTTTTTTTCTTGGACCTGCCTCACAGTATGTTGTTCATAGGTGCTAGTTAGATAAATACATTTCTTTCAGTGGCTACACATTGTAGTTTTGGGAATATTCAGCATGCAAATCCCTCTCTGAAGATTTAGCTATAATAATAGATTGCATACTGTACTCTGGCTGTGTATAGGAAATGTATATTTATACACAGCAGTTACTCAGTTGATCACAGATTGTTTCTGAATTGAGTAAAGGAAATCTATTTGCAATTAAAAAGGAAACTTTTATTTTGCAGATGAACAAAGTGAAGGTTGATGAGGAAGAATATTGGAACAGTTCCAAATGTAAGGCCTTTACTTTTGACGATGAAGATGATGAGCTGCTTCAGGTACAGTTCCTATCCTGAAAAAATGGTGAAAAAGTGCCTTTTCATGCCCTTGCCTGAATTGCTACAGAGAACTGATATCTGCATATAGAATTAGCCTTTTATATTGTATATAAAGGTTTTAAATACAATATTTATATTTATATGGTATATAAAGGTTTTATTATAAACTGAAAGCAGAGCTAATCACATTTGATTGAATGTGTGTAATTTACGTGATACAGGGTGCAGAACTGAGCTTCCTCATTCTTTAAATTTTTTACTACTTATGATTTGTGAATGTATTTATGAAAATGAGTTAGAAGTTTTAGATTTCTATTCCATGTGGAAGTATTTGTCTGTGAATATGTACAGTAAACCCATGATTTACTGAACCTCAGATGAAGGGCTTTGGATGCAACATTTGCCATTTTACACGCTGATTAAATCTGATTCATCATTTAATGGGCATATACGTCTAACAGATACATTTGTACCCTATGAGTTAATTGAAGTGAGGGTTTACTGTTACCTAATGCGAAGAGAGGACTCTTTGGAAAAGACCCTGATGCTGGGAAAGATTGAAGGCAAAAAGAGAAGAGGATGACAGAGGATGAGATGATTAGATAGCATCA